TCGTTCTCAGTCTCCTCCGTCTCCCGCTCCGTCTCCCACTCCTCTCTCCCACACTTGGGCCTCTCGTCCTCCTCGTGCTCGTCCCTCGTCACCTGTCCGTGACCTTCGTACCGTGTTGTTTCGTCCTAGTCCTCCTCGTTCTCCTCCGTCTGTTCTTCCTCGTCCTCCTGAGTCGTCCCTCACTGCCTCCCTGTCCACTCCGGTCACTGACTACTACCGCACGTACCGCCCCACTCTCTCTCGTGTTCTCGCCTCTCTTGTTACAGACCCTCGTGCCTCTCCTTCCTCCGTCGCGGTCCTCACTGCCGCTGTCACAGACTTTACTGCTACGCGTCGCCTTGACTACGCCACTCGCGTTGTGGCGGCTCCTCCTGTCCGTCCTCTGTCCGCCGGGGGTGAGTCTGCCCTTGGCTGTGCCGTCCTAGAGGATAGACAGTTTGAGCTAGAGTTCCTGGCAGCCGCTTCGCCTCATCTCTGTGCCATGCTGCTCGCTCCTGAGGGAGACCCCGACGCTCCTGACATAGGGTTACTGTTTCAGCCTGGGCTCTGGAGCTGTTTCGTGGAGGTCTACTCGGTCCTCCTCTGTTGCGACTTCTACCGCAGAGGCCGAGATCTACGCTGGAGCCCTCGCTGCACAGGAGCTACGCTGGTTGACCTTCTTGCTCACTGACCTTGGTGAGCGGCCGAGCTCTGCACCGACCTTGTTTGCTGACAACAAGGCGATGATTCTCCTGTGTCGTGAGCCTCGACTGGAGAGCAGAGTGAAGCACATCGACGTCAGGTACTTCCTCCTTCGAGAGTTGCAGAGACGCGGGCAGGCTCGTCTGGAGTTTGTGGCCTCCGAGGCCAACACTGCAGACATCTTCACCAAGGCCCTCCAGCCTTGTGACCACCGCCGGTTTTGTCTGCAGTTAGGCCTCGTTGAGACTGGGTCTAGTTGACTGCTGTAGGGTGCTCTTTGTCTGTTGCTTGCTTGTACCTTATATATATTTGTTTGCACACTTTTGGACTGGCCTTGTGGCCCTTTGCTTGTGCTCAGATTAGGTGGTGACGTTGTGATCCACCCTGAGCTTTCTTTCTCTTGCTTTTGACTGGTCTTGTGACCGTAGGTTGCTTGTTGTTGATTGGCCTTCCCCACTTAGGCTATGGGGGTGTGTCAAATATTATAGCCTGTAGTGGGTTGGGCTATATGGGGTACAACTAGTTAGGGTTAGGTTATGTACCCCAATTCTGTCAATGCAACACATTCCGCTGTAGTTCTCATTCTGACACTTTTGTCTATTAGAGTGTGTCAAATGGTATACTTGCCATAGGCTATGGTGAGGTACTCTCTAGAGGGCACAACCTCTGAAATCCAACCCAACCCTTTGCCTAGTCATTTATTCCGCTAAGTGCTATTCTGTTGAGACATGAGCATGGTGGAGGAATTGAGGGCAAGGAAAACGTGCAGGGAAGAACTGAATTGTGAGGGGGGGGAGGGTATGCGGATGCTGAGGGTAAGATTCACAGGAAAATGGAGGGCAACGGCAAATGGGCGAAACAAGCTGTGAGATTAAGGAGAAGCAATGAGCAATGTGCAGTTGTTACTGGAGGGCAAGCAAGGAGAGCGCAGTAGGACTTTGAACGGAGCCCAATGGGAGGACAGCACGGCTCTTGATGAAAGGCAAGGTGAGGGCAAGGCAGAGCTTGAAAAAGGAGAAGACGGTTTTCAGATGGGAAACATTGGGGACGTCCCTGGAGGGGAACGAAGGGTAGAAGGGAGGGGACATATGGCAAAGTCAGGGGGCAAGAGGCGAAACAAAGGGCAAGAGGGGTGGGGATCTGAGGCCAAGGAGACACGTGAGCAGAGGGAAGGGAAATACGTGAGCTGAGGCCAGGGACACACGTGAGCTGAGGTAAGGGAAACACCTGAGCTGAGGTAAGGGAAATACTTGAGCTGAGGTAGGGGAAACACGTGAGCTGAGGTAAGGGAAATAGGTAAGCTGAGGTAAGAGAAACGTGTGAGCTGAGGTAAAGGAAATACGTGAGCTGAAGTAAGGGAAATACGTGAGCTGAGGTAAGGGAAATTCCTGAGCTGAGGTAAGGGAAACACCTGAGCTGAGGTAGGGGAAATACGTGAGCTGAGGTAAGGGAAATACGTGAGCTCAGGTAAGGGAAATACGTGAGCTAAGGGAAATACGTGAGCTGAGGAAAGGGAAATACGTGAGCTGAGGAAAGGGAAATACGTGAGCTGGGGTAAGGGAAATACTTTAGCTGAGGTAAGGGAAATATATGAGCTGAGGTAAGGGGAACACGTGAGCTGAGGCCAGAAAAACACGTGAGCTCAGGTAAGGGAAATACGTGAGCTGAGGAAAGGGAAATACGTGAGCTTATATAAGGGAAATACGTGAGCTAGGTAAGGGAAATACGTGAGCTGAGGTAAGGGAAATACGTGAGCTGAGGTAAGGGAAATACATGAGCTCAGGTAAGGGAAATACGTGAGCTAAGGCCAGGGAAATACGTGAGCTGAGGTAAGGGAAACATGTCAGCTAAGGTAAGGGAAATACGTGAGCTAAGGCCAAAGAGACACGTTAGGTGAGGTAAGGGAAATGCGTGAACTGAGGTAAGGGAAATACGTGAGCTAGGTGTAGGAAATACGTGAGACGAGGTAAGGGAAATACGTGAGCTGAGGTAAGGGAAATACGTGAGCTAGGTAGAGGAAATACGTGAGACGAGGTAAGGGAAATACGTGAGCTGAGGTAAGGGAAATACGTGAGCTAAGGTAAGGGAAATACGTGAGCTGAGGCCAGGGAATAACGTGAGCTGAGGTAAGGGAAATAAGTGAGCTGAGGTAATGGAAATATGTGAGCTAAGGCAAGGGAAATACGTGAGCTAGGTAAGAGACATACGTGAGCTGAGGTAAGGGAGATACGTGAGCTGAAGTAAAGGAAATACGTGAGCTGAGGTAAGGGAAATACGTAAGCTGAGGTAAGGGAAACATCTGAGCTGAGGTAAGGGAAATACGTGAGCTGAGGTAAGGGAAATACGTGAGCTCAGGTAAGGGAAATACGTGAGCTGAGGTAGGGGAAATACGTGAGCTCAGATAAGGGAAATACGTGAGCTGAGGTAAGGAAAATACGTGAGCTGAGGTAAGGGAAATACGTGAGCTGAGGTAAGGGAAATACGTGAGCTGAGGTAAGGAAAATACGTAAGCTGAGGCCAGGGAAACACGTGAGCTGAGGTAAGGGAAACACGTCAGCTAAGGTAAGGGAAATACGAGAACTGAGGTAAGGGAAATACGTGAGCTGAGGAAAGGGAAATACGTGAGCTCAGGTAAGGGAAATACGTGAGCTAAGGTAAGGGAAATACGTAAGGTGAGGTAAGGGAAATACGAGAGCTTATATAAGGGAAATTCGTGAGCTAGGTAAGGAATATACGTGAGCTGAGGTAAGGGAAATACATGAGCTGAGGTAAGGGAAATACGTGAGCTGAGGTAAGGGAAACATGTAAGCTGAGGCCAGGGCTAACACGTGAGCTCAGGTAAGGGAAATACGTGAGCTGAGGCCAGGGAAATACGTGAGCTGAGGAAAGGGAAACACGTGAGCTGAGGTAAGGGAAATACGTGAGCTGAGGTAAGGGAAATACGTGAGCTGAGGTAAGGGAAATACGTGAGCTGAGGTCAGGGAACACGTGAGCTCAGGTAAGGGAAATACGTGAGCTGAGGTAAGGGAAGTACTTGAGATGAGGTAAGGGAAACACTTCAGTTAAGGTAAGGGAAATACGTGAGCTGAGGCCAGTGAAACACGTGAGCTGAGATAAGGGAAACACCTGAGCTGAGGTAAGGGAAATACGTGAGCTGAGGTAAGGGAAATACGTGAGCTCAGGTAAGGGAAATACGTGAGCTGAGGTAAGGGAAATACGTGAGCTAGGGAAGGGAAATACGTTAGCTGAGGTAAGGGAAATACGTGAGTTGAGGTAAGGGAAATACGTGAGCTGAGGTAAGGGAAATACGTGAGCTCAGGTAAGGGAAATGCCTGAGCAGAGGTAAGGGAAATACATGAGCTGAGGTAAAGGAAAAACGTGAGCTGAGGTAAGGGAAATATGTGAACTGAGGTAAGGGAAACACGTGAGCTGAAGTAAGGGAAATACGTGAACTTGGTTCAAGTTGTTTTGAGACTTACCAAAACAACTCTGTTATCACGTGAATGAGGTTAGGGAGGGAGGAAACAGGGGGACAGAATTGAGGGGCAAGGGGAAGGTGATCGCAGGCAACAGAAATGAATTGAGCTAGGGAGGGAATAGTCAGGAGAGAAATTAAATGATAACATCTCATTTGCAGCATGATCTGCTTATCTATCAAACACACACAAAAAAACGTTTGCACAAGCGAGAAACAAGCAAGCAAGAAGTAAACCTTTTTCCAAGCAATCTCACACTCCAATAACAACCACTCCAGCACGAAGCAACTCTTTCCGAGCCCTGTCAGAGACCTTACTTGCCTCCACCTTCAAATACCGCAGCCTTGGCACTTTATCCAGCAGCGTGCCAATGCCATCTGCAGTGAGTCCACCGCACCCCACCACAGTCAATCGAGTCAGCACCTCCAGTTTACTCCTTGCTATCACCATGTTTGAGAAGCCATCACTGCCTTCCACCTGCAGATCCTCCAGCATACTATATGCACGGAGCAGCATCACAAGTTACCCCTTCCCCAGCCCAGAGCAGCTCACGAGAGCCAATTTCTTGTGCCTTCCAAACAGAGCGGCTCGTGTGAGACATTCAAAGGACTATGGCTCGCTGCTTAGGCTTGACACAGGACAGGGGGAGGACAACGAGCAAGGGAGGGGCGGTGTGGCTCGGGGTGAGGGGTACATGAGGGGTGAGGCAGAGGGGAGGGGAGAGGGCAGCCAGGAAGGGTCATGAGTGGAGACGAACTGAATGAACCCGAGGGTGAGGGCCTCCAGTAGAGGGCACAACACTTCCACAGGCGTTGCCAGTGTGCTCCCATGTAGGGGCGGGCTTCACAGCTGCTCGTCGTTCGCAGCCCTTCCTACTACACTCGCGTCCTCTCCCAACGAACCTGCTCCTGTTGTAGCTACCCCAGCTGCTGTCCTAGCTCCTTCTGCCGCTGCCCCAGCCCCTACTGCTGTGGCCAGCCCGGGTGCCACTGCTCCTGCCGCAGGTGCTGCTGTTGCCCCATTCAGTAATGGAGGAGCACCAGGAGGGACCCCGGCAGCGATAGCCTCCATGTGCGCCACCAGCTGCTGTGTGAGCGCATGCAACAGCGCCCGCGCCTCTCCTCGCGACACCGCCACAATCGCCGGCCATATACCCGTCTGCTCCCCCAGCAGCGTCTCACTCAGCTTTGCCAGATCAGCCGACATATCATTCTCAGGTATAAACCCCACCAGCTCTTCCACCCCCCTCCCTCCTCCTCCTCCCTCCTCGCTGCCCCCCTCCCGATCATTCTCCCGGTGCTTCTCCTCCCGTTCTTCATCCAGCGCTGCAGTGAACTGCCCTGCAGTCTCGGCAGAATCACAGGCCTCTAACAACGCCTCCTCGCGTGCAATCCTGGCATTCACCTCATCCACTGACAGGCGCACGCAGATGCACAGCGATATGGCCGCAGGCACCTCAATAACCACATGCCGGATGGTCGAAAGTGCAAACTCCCCACGTGTGTTCCGAGCCCGCGTGATCTCTGACAAGACTTTTTCCCAAGCTTCCTCTAAGCGGTCTTCATTTGGGCAGTCCAGTCGTCGAATACAGCCACCGTGCTGCTGCTGCTGCTGCACGCAGGTCCAGGTACCTTGGGCCCCTATGGCCAATGATTCCCGTTTCACCTCTTACCAGCGTGGCAACTGCTGGGGGGGCTGCTGCGTCTTGGGCTATCATTGCTTCGTCATCGTCTGCTGTTGATGCTGCTCCTCCCTCCCCACTCTCCACAACAATCTTCCTTCCCGTCTCTCCTCTCCAGCGTCCCCTCCCACCATTCCGCTGCCGCCTCCCCTCGCTTCCACGTGCACCAGCAGGGCCACAAGGCTCTCCAAAGAAGGCTGCTGCAGCGCCTCATTGGGAAATACACTCTCCCTTGCCTCCCCCCTTCCTTTCAGCGTGAGAAGCTTCAGACTGCTGCAGCGTGCAAGCATGCCCGAGATGAAAAATGGCAACCCGGATAGATTGAGGGTGTGGAGGTGGGAAGAGGACGAGAGGAACAAGTTCCGGGGGTCTTGGGAGATGAAGAGAAAGTAGGTGGTGGAGTGGAGGGAGAGGGAGGAAAGAGCCGGGTTGGGTTTCAACCAGTGCTGAGAGAGCATAACTGGAGACCAAGGGACAGTCGTGGATGTTGAGCTGGGTGAGCGTATGGAGCGAGCGAGAGAGGGCGTGCAACTCGCATGGATCGATGGTGCAGGAGTGGAAGGCGAGAGCGGCGAGGCGAGTGAAGGACGCGAGGGGTGCGAGGGCGGCTTCAATGCAAGCAGAGTGGATGGTGAGGGAGGCGGGGGGGCGGTGGAGAGGGGAGGAGGGGGAGGCGAGGAAGTAGAGGGCATAGGTGTTGGGGTTCCAGAGGGTGAGAGAGGTGAGGGAGGAGCAGCGGGCAATGAAGCAGTAAGGCGAGGGCTCGTAGAGGAGCATGAGTGAGCTCAGTGCAGGGAAGGCGTCTACTGGGGGGGGCGGAGTTTCGTTGAACTCGTTGGAACTCTAGTAGAGTGGGGAGTCGAGCTCGAGTGATGCTATGCGGCTGATGCGAGGGGGAGAGGAAGCGCGAGAGGTGGCGGGAAGGGGGAACGAAAGAGAGGGAGGGGGGGGGAAGGGGGGAGGTTTGAGAAGAGTGGATTGAAGGGACGGTGCGCTGTTGTGGATGCAGAGGGAGGTGGCTGAAGATGAGTGGTGCATGAATCAAGTGGCTATGGGAAGCAACTTGCCCTAGGAGAAGGCACATATGCTCCATAAGTGTCTAGTTTGTTAACACGGTTGAGGGCGTTTGCAAGTGACAATGTGAAATGGTGAAGGGAGGTGCACTATTCAACAGGATCTAAGATGTGGGTAAGTCGGGCAGGAGGGTGAGACGAAGAGAAATTGGCGAGGCGTGGAAAGCGAGGGGTGAGGAAGGGGGAAGGGAATGGGAGAGAGGGCCACAGGGGAGAGAGCGGGGTCTGAGTACGGACGCGTGAGCGGCGAAAGGCAGACAGGAAAACGAGGCGCACACGGTGTTTTTGAGAATTCTGATAAGCACTGTGCAAAATTAATGGATATATATGTGAACCCTATTAACAAGAATAGAGTGAGCCGCAAGATTCCGTGCCATGGTGAAGGAGAGAGAACCAAAGAGTTACTAAAAACAAAACGATGAAGCAGACCATACGCGGTTTGCGGAGGGAAATTAGGGCGTGTGTGATTTCAGGGTTTATGAGAAGTTTATGTTTTTTACTCGATTTAAGCATTTGAACACAAGCTGAACATGACTTGATTTTGAGCTATGGCAATGTTCGAACCGCGTGTGACATTGCTTGTAGATTCACAATCACACACGAAAGTGCGAATTTGCAAGTTCGATATTTCAGGGGGTGAACCGAGCCGCTTTTAGGGTGCGTAGGTTACCTGGTTTTCATCTTTCGACAGCGCGACACGTCAACGAATCGCAGCTCAATGATTCGCGAGCTTCGCTGAGTCCTCGTACGTGCCTGACACCACACACGTTCGGTTCATTGTGCTAAACAAAGTTTGTGCATTTTTCTGCATTCTGTTCACTTTTGTAGGTTCACACTTTGTATATTTGGTAGTAGAGTCAACATTGGCGAATTGTTTTGCGAACATTGGCAAATCTGGTTACCACCAAAAGTTTGACCCTAAACTTCTCCTAAACCCTGAAATCACACACGCCCTTACCTACTATGTAAAGGGGTCGCAGTTGGTCGCAGCTGTTAGAGATTGAACGATAGGGTGGGAGCAAAGTAATAGTAGTAGGGGCGCCGTCGTGGCAAGGCAACCAAACCACACTTGCCGACGCGACTCCTGCTGCTATCCACCTCCGGAACCTCCGCCTCCACCCGCTGCACCACCAAACGCAGCTGTACGGGTAGGGGAACCCGAGCCTCCACCTCGACTGCCACCCCCACCCCCTCCACCACCCCCACTGCCTCCACCACCCCCGCCACCTCCACCGCCGCCGCCACCTCCTCCACCCCCACCACCACCACCACCACCACCACCCTCGCCACCACCCCCACCACCGCCACCCCCACCACCCCCACCGCCCCACCTCTAGCATACCCACCCTTGCCGCCACGGTGCCTCCCACTAGGCGCAGACATAACACCGACCTCTTTAGCACGAAGGAAGTCAACAGCAGCAGCAGAGGGAACAGAGGGAGCAAGTAGAAAGGGGGAGCACTCCTCAAAGAAGGAGTGGAAGGTAGTGCCACGGGAGGTAGCGACAGCATGGGCACTGGTCTCAGCCTCTAGGAGACGGGTCTCAAACGAGGCAAGGGTGAGCTTAGTGGGGTCTAGGGAGAGGAAGCGGTCTTTAACGACGCGAAGAGAGTCAGGGAGGCGGGTCGTGAGGAAGTAGAGAGTGATGTACATCAGGGGCGGGTCCTCAGCCAGAAATTCTGGCTTGAGAGCAGAGCAGTAGCGAGTGTCAACAGAGCACAGGTGGGTCATAAGACCAGCAACGGTGGGGAAGTCGGACAATTCAAGAAAGAGATACGGCAGCATGAGACAGCCTAGGTTAGCAGAAGAGGGGGAAGAGTAGCGCTTGACTACATCGTCATACGGCATTTTGGACGCCTTCAGCTGGCAAAAATGGGGCCTTTGGTCTAGCGGGAGGTGGTTGCGGACAGCAAGCTGGGTGATAGCATCGCTCGAGAGCCACTGTGAGCGAGCTACAACGGTCAGCCATCTCAGCTGGAACAGGAAGGGACCCCGACGTATGCTCATACAGTAAGGCGTCGTCCCTAGTAACGCTCTGCATATACAGGTGGAGGTCCTCGAGCCAGGACTCAAACTCGATCAGGCGGGCCTCCGCGGCAAAAGTAAGCACTGTAGCATTCGCCATAGCAGGCAACAATAGCAAGTGGTTGGAGCGGTAGTAGCGACGGCGGCGGCAAGGGCGGCAGTAGCAGCTGTAGCAGTAGCAGCGGCCGGCGGTCGGGACGGCGGCAGCGGCTAAGATGGCAGTAGCTGCAGCGGTAGCAGGGGCGGCAGCTGCGGCCGTAGCAGCAGCACCGACTGACGACAGGGGCGGCGGCAGCCGCTACAGAAGCACCAGCTGTGGCGGAAGCAAGGGCGGCACTAGCGGCTGGAGCGGCAACAGCAGCAGCGGTGGTAAGGGCGGCAACAATGGTTGTAGTTGTAGCAGCGGCGATGGCAGTAGGGGCGGCAGCAGTAGGGTGCAGCACGCTGGGCAGTGGGGCAGTGGGGCGCGGGTCGCGCGGAGCCGTGAGGCAGCGGGGGTCGCGGGGCGTGTGTCACGTGGGGCAGCGGGGGGCTTGGCGCGCGGGGCAATGGGGCGCAGGTCGCGCGTGGCTGCGGGGTAGCGGGGCAGGGCAGCGGGTCGCGAGGGGCTGCGAGGTAGCGGAAGAGCGGGGGTCACAGGGTGCGGGTCGCGTGGGGCTGCGGGGCAGCGGGGCAGGGCGTTGTTAGCGCGCTGAGCAGCACGGCGCGCAGGACAGGGGCGCGCGCGGGGCAGCGGGGCAGTGGGGCAGCACGATTGGGGCAGTGGGGCAACTACGCGCGGGGCAACGGGGTAGTGCGCGTGGGGCACTGTGGGTCAACGCACTTATCGAGCACTTACCTAGCATGTACAGCAGTAGGTTCAGACGCCAGATCTAACCTAGCGTGTGATACCATGTTAAAGCCGAGTCTAGAATGGCAAGGTTTCATAAATACTGAACTTGAAAATGTGTTGCGCGAAGTTTAGCGAAAGGAAAATTCGCCAGAGGCAGGTGGCGACGGCGGAATGCTCCACAGTGTATCGCAAACTTAGCTTCATCTTCAGGAAACTTGAACCAACAGTAACGACAACACCAAACCCAACCACTCTCATGCAGCTCACAACTCAGACTTTCGCCAAGTCCACAAGCACAATCTTGGAGCAGGCTGAGAAAAGCGTGCGTAAGAAGCAGATACCGGTAGTTATAACATCAGTAAGTATCCAGACCTAAAATAGATAGGTATAACATGTAAGATTATATACGTTTGAGCGGAATCGAGAAGAATCCGATGACCGAGGGAGGGAATGTGGCGCGAATGCAAGTGTTAAGCACGGTTATAATATGCGGCAGGACCCCAGAAATTAGATGTCGACCTCGCTTTCCCCGTCCGTCCACCTCGAATCCACCGTCCGGCGCCCTCGCTTCCCCTTTCCGCCGCCCTAGCTTCCCCCTCCCGTCGCCCTCACTTCCCCCTTCCGTCGCCCTCACTTCCCTCTCCCATCGCCCTCGCTTCCCCCTTCCGTCGCCCTCGCTTCCCCCTCCCGTCGCTCTCGCCTCCCCCTCCCGTCTCTCTCGCTTCCCTTTTCCGCCGCCCTAGCTTCCCCCGCCCATCGTACTCGCTTCCCCGTCCCATCGCCCTCGCTTCCCCCTCGCCCTCGCTTCCCCCTCGCCCTCGCTTCCCCCTTCCGTCGCCCTAGCTTCCCCCTCCCATCGCCCTCACTTCCCCCTCGCCCTCGCTTCCCCCTCCCATCGCACTCGCTTCCCCCTCCCGTCGCCCTCGCTTCCCCCTCCCGTCCGTCCTGCTATTTCCTCTGCTCACCAATCCCCCACCCCCCAGTCGCTGGTTCACTTGCGCCATCTGTCAGGGTGGGGCAACAGCATCACCAACGCCTCTTCCTCTCACCTCCTCGCCTTCCTCCGTTCCCCCTCTCCCCCCCAATCCCCCACCCACTCTTCCTCCAGTCGCTGATTCACTTGCGCCATCTGTCAGGGTGGGGCAACAGCATCACTCGGAACCTCTCCCCTCCTCCTCATCCTCTCCCTCCGCCTCCTCTCCTTCCTCCTCTCACTCCTCCTCCTCCTCTTCCTCCTTCCCCCTCACTCATCTCGTTCTCTCTGGTGCTTCAATCGCTCCTCCCTCCTCTCTCTTCCTCCCTCCTCCGCACCAACCTCCACCGCACTCTACTCCCCCTTCACGCCCTCACAACCCGCCCTGCGTGCTGAAGCGGTTACACGCAGCAGTATCCCTCACACACTTGACCTCCCTACTGTTACACACTCGCCCATTCCCTTCCCCACAGGGTATGTGAGCTGCCCACCACCCTCCACCGCACTCCACTCCTCCTCTACGCCCCCACACCCCCTCCCTGCGGTCTACAGCGGCGACAAGCAGCGGTCTCACACCCCTTGATCTCTCCGGCTCACTCTTTCCCCTGCTCATTCTCTTCCCCCCTGCTCACTCTGTTTTCCCTATTCATTCTCTTCCCCCCTGCTCACTCTGTTTCCCCTATTCATTCTCTTCCCCCCTGCTCACTCTGTTTTCCCTATTCATTCTCTTCCCCCCTGCTCACTCTGTTTCCCCTATTCATTTTCTCCCCCCCTACTCGCTTAGTTTCT